CTGCAGGTATGGCTATAGCAGCACTGATGAGTATTGCTATCAATGCTATATAGTGTGACAATTAAATGTTTGAATGAGCATTATAGTAAATTTTGTGGATGCCTATTGCCTAGAGTAATGACGATGATTGGACAAATATACCTGCAGTGTAGGGTTGACATGTTGGTGTTTCAATGGTGATGCAACCCTACAGGGGCTTGTTTGAATTCCTTTTATACTTTCAAACCAGCAACCCTACAGGGGCTTGTTTGAATTCATTTCATAGGTTCAAATCCAACAGAGGCTCAACCCTACACTAAATAATTTTTTAAATTTTTTTGTTCTAGTAATTATTTCTTTTCAGTATCTGATACTCCAACTGGTTTAACTGCTACAAGATTAAGTACTGGTTTAGCTCATGTAAGACTCTCCTGGTCTACTGTATCAGGAGCTACTGGTTATGAGGTCTACTATCAACTGTTTAGTAATACTCCTGTTAGTGCAGGCACTACTACTTCAACAACAATCAATATAATATCATTGATTCAAGGACATGCATATACTTTTTATGTAGTATCTTATGGATCAGATTCTCTACCTAGTGGTAATGCTTCAGTTATGTTAACATTTAGTAAGTTATTATAATTTAAAATTCCATGACTATGTTTTAACTAGGCGTTCCAGTGGTTAATGATTTAATGGCTACATTAGTTACAAGTACTTCCATTACATTAACATGGGGTCCACCAACTGCTGTAGTACCAAATAGTTATAATATTAATAGGAGATGTAGGAGAATATGTGAATCATCAGTCATTAGTACTAGTGAAACATCAGTTTCATCACCACATACTTCAACTGGTATACCTCCTTACAGTCAATGTACCTTTGATCTTATTGGAGTATATGGGTCTGAGATAGTTTATTTGAATACTAATTATTTAGCTACTACTACACTTTCAACTGGTAAAGGATTAATTCTTAATGGTTTATTATTATTCAATTTCTTCATAGCCCCTACTGCACTAGTGGATGATATTATATTCTCATCAGTGGAGTCAGTGTCAATGACTGTCTCATGGGATGAAGTACCTTGCAATGGAAGGAATGGACCAATCACTGGATACTACCTCACATACACTAACATCACTTCAAACACTAGTTATACTGTTAATATCACTGGAGGAGACAACAGAATGTATAATCTCACAGGATTAATACCATATACTAACTATACTGTGAGTATAATACCTTATAATTATAATATGAATGGACCAGCTAGACAAGAAATACAATTAACTACTGAATCAAGTAAGTCGATGAGATATTGATTAGTTTAACATGATCTTAACACAGTTCCTGGCCTGATATCTGATATAATAATGCACACAAGAGCACTAACTGAGATCAGTATCTCATGGAATCCTCCTACAATACCTAATGGTATCATTACAGTATATGAGATAAGATATAGAGAGTCTACCAGTACTGGTCCATATAATATAACTAACACTACTAATACTTATTACAGTATAATAGGATTGATACCTAATACTAATTATACTATTGGAGTGAGAGCATATACTAGTATTGGACCAGGAGAATGGACTGCAGAAACAATTAACGTTGGTAAAGTTACATTTCAAAATTGAAATATGTGTATTATCTATAATTATTTTTATTCATAGCAAAGGTATGCAGTTTTACTCTCAAATACCTCAATTCAACTACTGTACAAGTGAATTGGTTACCTATTCCAGGGGCCAGTTACTACACTGTCTATTACAGCAGTGGGTGTGATGTTAATTCAATGAATGTTAGCAATGAAACAAATCAAAGTATCATATCAGGGCTATACTCATGCCTCAGCTATTCATTTGAGGTATCAGTGACTATAGAAATAAATGGAATTTATTATGAAGGACCTAGAACTGTACCAACAGGTAAAGCAATGCTTTAACTGTCAAATGCTAAAATAATTATTATAGTTATAGAGCTACCAACAGTGGAATTTTCTTCCTCTTTTTACACAGAAGTGATAAGTAATTATATGTTTACTGTTAATAATAATGTTTACCTTACTGTATGTGGTTTTGGTTTTCAATATGTTTGCACACAATTAAACAACAACATAGACATGTACCTTATAGATTTATACAGAGCCTGCAATATAATGAATAGAAAGCACTGTGAAATAACATTTATTTTATTTTCTAAATTTAGGTACTTCATCTCCTACCTCTGCATCAAGTGATGAATGCATGAACATGTCAACTTTATACATATCCCTACCAATACTGGGTATCTCTTTATTTATCAACATGATATTGGTATGTGTGGTGATTGGAATGTGCTGTAAGAAGATAGCTTATAATGTCAAGTAAGAGATAGAGAGAAGAGAAGAAAAGAGTGATGTGGAACAGTGGAATGAGAGGAGAGAGAAGAAAGAAAAATACAGATCAACTTATTTTTCTTATATTGTGTATTTCAGATCCATTGAATTAAAGAATAATGTAGAACATGACTATGCTGTCCTAGAGTAAGTAAATTGAAATAAAAATGATATAAATTAATAATTCTATAACATAACAGTCCCCCAGTAGTTCAAAATTCACAAAATGTTATATATGAATCACCTTTGGACTTGGCATCCCTTGAAACTCCACAGAACAAAGAAACTGTACAAGCAGAGCAAGAAAATTAATAAAAACAATTATCTCATTTTATATACGATTTCCAAGTATTTTAGATCTAGTATCAATTAGGATTGTATACATGAACTTAACATTTGGTGTGTGTGTGTGTGCCATACATGTACATGCATATTGTGGATGTGTTATTACATTATAGAGTGTAGCTCTATGTCATGTGTGTTCATTTTGCAATTTTTGTTTGCATCAGATCTATTCCTACTGTAGTGCTTTTTGGGAAATACTTTTGTATTATAATACATTCATTTATTTTATGCTATAACAAACTATCAGTGTATGATGAGTCAATGCTGTAATGGTCACAAGACAGTTGTTGATGATGATGATGATGATGATGATGATTAGGGTTGAGCCTATTATTCTCATAAATTTTCCCATTATTCTTTCTGGAAATTCTTAATAATTTCCCCCATTATTCTTTTCATTTTATCCTATTATTCTGAATTTATTCTCAATAATTTTCTCAAACAATCAATTTTTGCCTAAGAATTGCATTCCAGCAATGTTTTAAAAATAGGTCTTCCAAAAACACTAGCCAAAAATTTTAAAATTTTCTTCTGCAATCACCATTGACCTCAACTCCACCCATTATTCCACTATTATTCCTATTTCCACCCAATTATTCCAGCATTATTCCTCATATGAGGAAGCCCCTATTATTCCTAAAATTATGCTGGAATAATGATGATGATGATGATGATGATGATGATGATGATGATGATGATGATGATGATGATGATGATGATGATGATGGTGATGAAAGGTGGCCGGCAAAACGCCGGGTCGTTTTCTGGATTTTTAAGACTTTCCTCTCATTCGGACAAGGTTTAGTGCCATGCTAGTGGTACCAATGGAGTCCTCTGGTCAAGATAAGGTCCTCTAAGAAGTCTGGTAAGCATAGAAGCTCGTTATTAGCAACTGTTATCACGCAAATTAGCAGTCGTGGCAGCCATTTTGAAGCTACAGCGTTACTAATAACGCTAGCGCGTTACTAATACAAATGTTATACATTGATTACTGTTGACTGTTCATATTATGTGTCAATTCTCTAAGATGTTGAGGGGACTGCTTCTTCTTGCTGGCTTCCTCCTGTTGAGAGTTGAAGGACAGCAACCTAATAACCTGCCTAGTAATGGTAAGAATATAAACTTAATGCATGTCTTCAATATTAAACAAACTTGATATAGGCATTCAACTGTATCTACCTTTTGTGAACAGAATAATACCTGATTACTCTATGATATATGCTAGCCAGTTTTATGATATTGATCAGAATAATGATGCTAACAATATCAATGATGCTTTGTGGTGTCAGAGTGCTAACAATGTTACTAATATTGGAGTGTGGTATTATCCTAATGGAACTGAAATACCTTTATTTGATGGACCCTTTGGCATGACAGCTCCTAGACCAATGTTCAGTAAGAGATTCAGTGGTCAGATTGCACTAGCTAGAAGAGATGATCTATCAGGATATGAAGGTTTATACAAGTGTATCATTCCTGATGAGAATGGAGTGAATCAAACACTAGTGGTTGGAGCATATACTGATACTGGATACAATAACAATGGTATGTGATGAATATAGACTATAATTAATGTACTTCTTTTACAGATGGTCCTGATGCTGATCCTACTATGCAG